ATTCCACTGCTTATAGAATTATAGATTAATCGTAGTTGTATTTTATAATCTTTCTAAGAATCTTTCTAAAAATTTTCTTTTTTGAATTTTTTAAATAAATTAATATTTCTTAATAGATTAATATGTTTAATTTATCAACTATTGATTTGTTTAATTGAAATTTAATAAGAATTTTTTATAATTATAGAATTAATAATTAATTTAAATAAATTAATTTTAATGTTTATTGTAAGTCAAATTTTTTTTAATACTTTTAAATGCAAAAATATAAAAATTGTGATGTGTAAAAAAAATAAAAAAAAGTTTAAGAAATTGCTAACTAAAATGATGAATAATTCGTCTTTAATAATATTAGCTTCAATTTATTCCTGGAATTATGATATATAGTAATAAAATTAATTTATTACAAAATTCGCTATTAACAATGTTCTATTTTAAAACGCTTAAAAGCAAAATATGTTAATGAAAATTTATGTTTATCAGTAGATTCACAAGATTCTAAAGTTTTGTTCGTTCGAGATTATAAAGTTCGGAAGATTAGATGTAAAGTTCAGAGATTTAAGAAATTCTGAGATTACAAAAGTTTTGATTTTAAAAGAGTTCTAAGATTTAAATCAGATTCAAGTTCTAATGTTCAAAAAATTCTACCAAATCGCTCGTACTCTCTAAAACTCTCTCCATATTCATCTTCGAGATGAGAGTCATCTTCAATAAGGCATACAAGCATCCAATATTATCATGAACTAATCTGATTAATTGATATGCCCAATCTAAGGAAAATTCCTAAAATGAAACTGAAGAATTATACCATCTATTCCCAGGAAACTAAGGAGTATTTGCAATAATTCTTCTCAAGAATAATGCTAATTGCCGTTGAGATTTTCCATAGCTGGAAAATATTGTCTTAAATTCCAAAACCATGTTCACATTTCAGTCAGATGAAATGTTTTAATAAATATACAATTCTTTTAAATTCTCTCAAAAATGGCATTGTCCTCATAATATTACTCTGTATCATCTGTTCCATCTATCCATATCTCAACAAATAAAAAGATTATATTAATTTTAAACAAGTGTCTGATAAATTATGAATGAATACATAAATATGTATCGCATTATACTGACACAATCGCATGAAAACGGATATAATCATTCAGAATTAGCTATAATTTCTAGTGCAAGAGAGAAAGAAAAATGCTGCAAGAATCACGTGTTTGCATAAGAAATTATTGACTTAAGAGAATCTTATAATTTTGTTAAGTGTTGTAGATTCCAAAATCTAATGTTTATGGACTTTTGAATTGCGTTTCGTATCTTCATGCCAAGATGATACACATATAATAAATATAAATAATTAGCGTTTATTCTGTACTTATTTATTATCGTTGATATACTTACGCATTTTAACATATTCATATTTTAATAAAGGAACGCAAATAATTTATATAGCCAATAATCGAATTGGTGGAAATATTTTAAAGAAAAAGAGTAATGTTATTTTCCTTTTGATTCTTTCTATTCTTATTTGAATTGTTTGAATGGGAAAATATTCTATATAGAAATGCGATACGATCAAAATTTTTTTAGTCGGTAGTCGATCGAATCCTCTCTTGTCTATTTTATCGGATATCGATTTGAATTTAAATAATGCAAATGGCTATCTATTCGAATGAAAAGCCAGTGAAGAAGATACAGCTTAGATCTTTGGTTAGATTCTTGCTGGAAAATTGCAAAAATAAATAGATTCACGGAATGAGCGAAATATATTTTTTGGCAGAGATACTTTTCAGAGAATTCCCAAGGAGAATTTGGGAACTAAAATAAGAAATAGTTAAGAATAGTTTTTCAACAATTCGCATGAAAGGTCATTTTTGTAGAATTTCAAATGAAATTTGAGATCGTTTGAATTTTTCGTGATGGAAATATTCTATGTTAGTTTTTATTCATGATTAATATTTTCTCTTCTTTTTTTTTTTAGATATATTTATTTATTTATTATTGAATTATATTAATATATTAATAATCATTAATTATTATATATGAATTATATATTTTAATATTCAAATTTTTTATAATAAACTATAACTAATAATAAAAATTTATATACATATAAATATATATTTTGATACAAAATATTATTATACTGAAATTCACACAATAAGAAAAATAACTAAAAAATTAAATGGCAAATATATTCCATGCTTTATTTAAAATAAATTAATTACTTTTTGATGTTTTGGACTTTGTTTAAATTGAAATATAATGTAAAATTCACGTGAAATTAAGAGATCTAAATTATCATTTTACTAATTTTGTACTCGTTTAAAAAAATATAAATTTTTCAATTTTGCAATTTTTGCTGATTTTTGTAAAAAATAGTTATTTAAATTTTTATCTCGGAAATTATTCATCAAATTATCAATTGAATTCATTTTTTGTTATTTTATAATAGAAAAAAAATGATCTTTTTAAATATATAAAGATAATTTTATATATATTTTTTTTGAATTGGAAAATTATTAAATTGAAATTTATATTATAAATTTTTATTTTTTAATTTTTAGTTTAAGATTATTGTTTAAGATTATGTCAAAAAATCGAAAAAAATATCGTATTTTTTGAAGTTTTTTATAAAATAATTTATGAAGTAGAACAAAATACATAAGTTAGAATTTCGATATTATTTCGATATTATTTCAATTAACAAAATAATGAATTAAAGAAAATAATTTTGCTTTATTCGTTATGAGTGTATGAGAGTCTATAAAAAGATATAAAATAAATATATATATTTATTGTTTATATTTCTTATTTTTAATAAATACATTGATAATTTAACTTTTTTATTATATATAAGATGTAAGATATTTGTTTTATCTAAATGTAATAAAATATATTTTTTAAGAAAAAGAAAATAATATAAGAAAAAAATATATGAATTAAAGATTATTAAATAATTTATAAAATAATTTATAACAAAATATTCTAATAAGGAAATATATTATGTAAAATTAATTATTTTTTTATAGATATAAATTATATAAAGATCAAGTTTAATTTTGTAAATGGAATCATATAATTTTTATTGTATTAATCGATTCATAACTCGTTATTTCCTAAAAAAATAATTTAAGTCAAAAAATCTTTATCTTATGAAATATTTTAATTCGAAGATACTATAATATTTTTTATATATTTAAAATAATGATATTTTTAAAATAATGATTTTTTCCGATATAAATAATATAATATTTTTTAGTAAAGAAAATAACGAATTGCATTGATTACTGTAAAATTATATTTAAAATTATATATTTAATTATATATTATGAGAAACGAAAATTATCTTCATATATGTTCACAGAAAAAATATTAATATTACATGATATTAGGTTGTATCACATAAAATTGTCAATTTTAGAATAAATGACAATCAATTGCGACTTGTAAACTCCACTTAACCTATATTTTGCTTAGTATATTTTGACATTGTCCTTTGTCATATTTCCTTTGTGTAATAAGTTCTTTTTTGTATTAGTTTAATTATTTTTTGAAAAGTGAACAATATGGTATTATCGAACGAATTTAGAATATAAAATTTAGAATATATTCCTATATATTTAATTATTAAATTTAAACTGGGCAGCTTAAGTATATCGAAATATTGAGTTAACTTTCAGAGAGGATTTTATTAATGAGAGGATCGTTTGGTGATATGATGATTTAAAAATTCAGATCTAGAAATAAGAAGAATCTTAAAAATGAGTCCTGAGATAGATCCATATTAATTCCATATTAAACAAAAATAAATTATAAAAATAAATTATATAAAATAAAGCTAAAATGTAAATTAATCTGCAAACAAACATGCGCAAAATTAGATATATCTCCAATGAGTTTTCAAATAGTTTTCAGACATTTGAGTGCAATAGACAATTGGGTATAATAAAATGAAAAATATTGAAAAAGTGGGTACCATGGGAATTATGTGTTCGTATCTGCAGTAGTAGTATTGTAGTAGTGATGATAATTGTTAAGTGGATGGATATATGTATCGAATACTCTTTCAAGATGTATGTATGTGTGTGAAGAAATTAATGCTTGTGACTATAATCTATTTCATATTGAATGGACTATATTAGTGTAGTTGCGATATCTATAAGAGAGCTGAATCTCTCACAATGTTATAGTGAGCAATCGTGTCCGACATGGTCAGAACATGTGATAGAACAAAACTATCTATGTATTCGACGATCAAAATACAATCTGTTCACAATGAGATTTTCCTTACAAGTAAAATTTGTGTCCTCAAAAAATTCCTTTCTAGTTTAATTGGAAGAATCACAGACTCCCGAACATGATAATAACGAATAATATCCCAATCAGTACTTAATTCGTAACATTCTCAAATTAGAAAAAAATTCCTTGAATTAGAATAATTGGTTGTCGTTGAGCTGTTTCGTTCCAGCCGTGTCTAGAATATGTCATCCTTGAGATCAGGCTTCCAGCAAAGTTGAAGTGTGTCAAAAATATAATAATTATAGGTATTAACTACCTTCTTGAATACGACAATCAGATGACATCATCCTTTGTTTAGACTTAATAGAGATCACCGATTGATAATAATAGAAAAGGATTTCTATATGAGGAATTTCTCTGAATAAGCTTTATAAATCTTGCGAGCAATAAATGTTTGCGAAAAGTGTATTTATCACATAAAGCTCAAAATAGTAGAAGTTCATTTTTGAATAGAATTATTATTTGTAATGAAAAATGAATATTATATAATAATCGTACACGATCTGAATAATGGTTGAATGCTAATAAAAATCTTAAATAAATTTTTGAAACCGAAAAAATTACTGCCGAAAAAAGTTATGATAACTATATAGTGGTCTGTAAAGGGAATAATTCTTTTGTTTTTCTTGAAACAAAGAGATACCATAACAGCATTGCCAAGAAATTGGTATGCATCAAAAATTGATGAAAAAATAACTAACCAACATTAGTCAATAGACATGGATCTATTTTTCTGTATGACAATGCTTGATCGCATACACCATAAATCATTCTATAAAAATTAGCTGAATTGAAATATGAAATCTCATTTACTATATTCACCAAATATTTCATCAATCGATTATCATTTATTTTGTCATTTACAATTGTTTTTAAAAAATAAAATATTCGATATTCGAAAAGTTATAATTGCAGTATTCGAAAAATTTTTTCACACTAAAAGCATGAAGTTTTTAAATGTAATATATCAATTGGAATTTTGTTAAGAAAAGATCATTAAAACCAATGGCTCATATTTTCAATAAAAATTATAGATATATATTTTCGAAAATATATTGTTTTTCTTCTGACCAATAAAAATGACAATGTTGTGTCTTAATATATCTTTTAACCAAACTACCAAATTATCAAACAACTTATATATAAATATTCTTGTCATAATATTTTTTCCTTAAAAGATATTTCATTAAAAAAAAAAGATATCCCGTATATATATATAATATATACGTAATATAAATACATTCGTGAAATACTTCTAAATATTTTTAAAATTATTTTGAAAATAAAATTTCATGAAAAAGTTTATTTGTTTATGAATATGATATCTACAATCATGATTACGGTATTCTTTTTTTAATTCACAATTTTTTAAAATTATTTTTTAAAATTAATTTCTCATCGGTATCAAAACAAAAATATCCGCGGCTAACAATTTCTGCAACAAAATTGTTCATTATAATTTTTACTTTTTCTTCTTGCGAATAGGACCGCAATAGCTCGACCCTTGGTTAATTAAAGTCGCTTCTCAGATGCACATTTTAGAAATAGTTTCTGAAGTCGTTTCATTTTACATTCGTTTCTGTTCGCATTCAATTAAACAATTCTGTTATAAACTTTGATCACTGCCTCAATTAACAAATAAATATTCTTAGAAAGTTCGCATTTAATACATCCGACATATTCTGCTGAAAATAAATAAAATATCACACAATTTTTTTTTGCTGACTTCAATTAAATTTTTAATACGTTATTTAAACATCGATGAATTTTATCCATTGTGGTTTGTAAAATAAAATAAGTTGAAAGTTAATGAATAATTATTGGATATAAGAATTCTGTAACTTATTTTATAATTTATCAATTTTATAATTAATATCATCGATTTAAATTTTAGAAATTAGTCATGTCCCGAAAAAATTAAAAAATAAAATTTCAAAGAAATGATAATATTTTAGAAATAATAATAATTATAATATATTTCATTTATTGCAAAATGAAGTAGATACTTTTAAATAGTAAAATTTTTGAAAATAAAAATCATGTAAATTAAAACAGTTTGTAAATTAATTAGATGAAAAAAAGAATATTGAAAAAAGAATTGAAAATTTATTTGAAAAATGAAGCATTAAAAAAAAATTATTATTTTTTATTAAAAACTTTTCAATGATATTATTTACATGATTTATTTAAAAATTTATAAGCAATTATTAAAATTGAAAAAAAATATCGGTTGAAGAGATTTATATAATAAATATACAATTAATACAAAGAATAGAGAAATAATTAAAAATTATAAAGTACAATAGCAATTTTATAATCGAAAGTTTAAAACGATAGATTTAGAAAAGAAATCAATTTAATCAGTGATCAAATTCATAAAATTTAATCTGAAATGAAATCTTATATCAGAAATGCTAATAATTATTTCGGAAAATATCGATCTGAAAAATCTAAATAAAATGCTTTCAAAAAAGCTTAATAATTAAGAAAAAAGATAATAATTAATGATGAAATTATAATTACTCGAGTTGATTTTTTCAAATATATTAAATAGAAATAATTTTATAAATTTAAAAAAGTTAAAAATTAATAAACATTTTATAATTTTATATATTAACAAATTTTATTTTATAATTTTCAAGAATATTATTAAGAATGGATATAATATTAAAGTATAACAAGAATCTTATATTATATTTATTATTATATTTATATTTTATTTATATTAAATAAATTTTATATTATTTATAATATTATTATATTTATATTTATTTTTTATTATTAAATAGTAATCACATTATAAAATTCGCATAATATATTTTAAGTTTTATTTTTTATTATTTCAAATAGTATATTTCGTATACTATGCTTTATAAAACTATAAATGCAATTGAATTTTAATTTCAAAAATTCAACATCAATCAGAAATACTTATAAATTTTAGGTATTATAAAGTTATACTTTTTATCATATACACGATATTTTCTTTCCTCATTGGCGTGATGGAATGGCCTGTATTTTTCGAAAATGATTTCTAATGGTGAAGATTGTAATGTTTCATGGCACGCAATCTCACGTGCCATTAAATGTTCTATGTTGATGTTTACGCACATTATGTCATATTATTATACTATGCATCGACAAAGTATAACAACGCGACACAATTTCGTCAATGTTTTTATGTTAACTACACTGAATAAACGTTCGTGCCTGCATGAAATAATAATTGCGCGGAGGAATATTGTAAAGAAATAAGATTAACTCGTTTCTATGTTACAATCTGTCATAATATCATAATAAATAAGTATCAGTTATTTTTATTAAATTAATGTGTGATAATTACTTAATGATTTTATTTTTCACAAATTCTGTTATATTATTAAATATAAAGTATGATATGTAAATCCATATGAATTAGGAACAGAATTAAGGAATTTTTTTAAAATAAATATTAAATTGATTAATTTTAATATTGTAATGTTCGTTTTGATTTTTTAATATATAATATAATAATGAGAAACAAACAAACAAACAAATAAACAAATAAATAATGATAATGACAATGACAATGGCAATGACAATGGCAATGGCAATGACAATGGTAATGACAATGACAATGACAATAATAATATATTATATAGACATTGGACATGTAATGATTAATTATAAATAATTCAGAAAAAAATATCTCATTGAAATAAACATACAATTAATACAAAGAATAGAGAAATAAAAATTTAAAAATTATAAAGTACAATAGCAATTTTATAATCGAAAGTTTAAAATGATAGATTTAGAAAAGAAATGAAATTTTTGTCTATTCTTTTTATTATTTTAAAAATATGATATTTTATTTAAAATATATAATTTAAAAACATATAACTAAATTATATTTAAAATATATAACTAAAAATTCTAATAAAAAAATTTTATTATTTGAAATTATATTCTACGTAGCAAACAATAAAGAAATAAAATTTTACATTTTTTTCATAATATTATTTTTTAAATAGCAATTATATATATTATTATATATGGAAAATCTATATAAACATATAAATTTCGAATAATTTTAAATTTTATATTTCAATTCAAAAAACTTAATATTATTTATGCAATATTAACTTTGCACAAATGAATCAATATGTTTTCTCTATTGATTTTTGTCATATTATGATTCAGTATTATAATATAAATATGCAGGAACATTATGCATCATTCCATTAACTACAAATTTTTGTATTTTATTTTATTCTTCCTTCTTGATATCATCAAAAATATTTAATTCAATCTTTGAAAATTTGTCTATTTTAGAGAATTCATTCTCAAATTTATGTTAGTTCGTGGAGCTATAATATAGTAATATAATATAGTAATAAATAATAAATAATATAATGTAATAATATAGTATATAATATAGTAATAAAATTCATTTGTTACAAAGTTTAAATGATCAAGAGCAAAATTCATATACTAATAAAAGATTATATCATCACTGAATGAGTTCGTGATGTTCTAAAAGTTTTGTTAGTTCGAGATTACACAATTCAAGAGTTCTAATTGTTCTAGTAACTTTTCAAAGATTGAAAAGTTCAGTGATTTTATAAGTTCAGAATATTCGATAGTTTAAAAAATTCTGAAGTATACAGGATTCTAAGGTTAAAAAAAAAAATTCTAATTTCTTTGAATTATCAAAACGTTTATACCCTTTAAAATCTCCTCTATGGTTATTTTGTAAGATCGCTATCAATAAGTATGGACCAATTAATTAAATGACATTTCCAACTTAAGGAAAATTCCTAGAATTAGAATGAGGTTATGCTCATTCTAATAAACTTACTGTTTCTGCAGGAAACTGATTCGCTATAATAAATTAATACTGTAATAATTTTTTTCAACTAGAATGATGTCGATTATTGATGAGATTAATATGGCTAGAAAATTTCATATTCACACTCCACACTAATATCGTTTTTAAGCAGTTATAAGTGGATAAATATAATTATAAAAAATAATTATAAAATAATATAAAAATAAATAATTATAAAAATTTCTGTTTATTTCTGTTTATATTCGATATAATTTTTCAAAATTTAATCAAATTAATAATTCAATGAAATATAGTTTTGATTATTAGACATTCATTCTAATATCAAAAATTAAGAGATTTTTATTAATAAGTATATACTTATTTTAATAAGTCCTACAATAATTTTGTAGACATTATGCAAGTACCAAAATATAAAAAATCATTATTATTTTTACTTTATAATGTTTATGAAATGAATTGCATTGAATTTAACTTGAATTTATATGGAAATCAAGTAAATTTTATTATTTGAAAATAGCATTCAATTTCAATTCTGCAATTATTTTGGATTTAATTATTATTATTGATCGTTCATTTTTATATTATTTTATTATTTATTTTTTATGTATTGGTTCAACGAGTTTTTTTTTAATATTTACGAATAGAATCAAAATTAAGAAGTTTTTGAATCATTTTATAATTTTTAAGATCATCTTTACACCAAAATTATTTTCTACCAAAGTATAAGAAAATTGTAGTTTCAGAAAAAAATTACTTTAAAGAAAAAAAGATAATATTAATTAAAAAATTAAATTAATATAAAGATAATATAAAGATATATTATAAAGATAAGATAAATATTAACATGTTCTAAAGATTTTAAGTCGTTAAATATTTTGAATTTTATTTTTGTCGTTGATTTTTTACTACATTTATTTTCTTTTTTGTAATATATTTCATT